AAAAAAAACCCCCCCCCCCCCCCCCCCTCGACCCTTCTTCTTCCTCCTCATTATCCACCACTTTCCCCCTCTTTCTCCAAAAGCAAAAAGCCGCCTTATTATGGAGACGGCGGCTCCTTCCAAAAAGCCACTACTCACGATATATGTGTTCGGTCTCGCCCTCTCTTCCTCTTTTGTCGAAACACAAAAGAGCCCGCAGAGCTTGACATGCGAGTTGCAATTTCCAAAAAAGAAGGAGTACCTAGTGATGAGGTCGAAAAAGGCGATTACAGGCTGTAGATGGTTGTCTGTGTGGGTGCTGTGTTGCGATATCGAAAAAGTGAAGACATAGGAGCATGAACAAGAAATGGAGAAGGGAGATGATCATGGAATATAAAAACTGCGATTACTAATGCCATGGTCTTCTTCCTTCCTTCCTTCCTTCTCTTGTACACCAAAGCAGCACCTGCACCCGAAGATGAAGATCTGGTTCATGATGATTCGAAAAAACAGCGACGAAAAGAAATATGTTTGGACTTCGGTGCTGGCGATTCTCTCAGTCCATCGTGAGCGTGTGAGAGGCCTGGGAAGTCGTGAGCACTGCCGAGTGCGAAAGCGATGGTGATGATCATCATCATCACCGAACTCAAGCACCGAAAGCGCAAAGGTTACCTCGCTGATCCGTAGGAGTGTATTTCATAGGGTATACTGCACTACAATCACCATCGTACTATCATCCCATCTTTATCAACAACCGCAATCGCCGTGAACATCCATTATCCACCATGAACCAAAACGCCATATCGCTATGTAAACCATCATTACACCCCTCCCCACCCACACCTCTCTCCCTTCCTCCCTCTCCTCACCCACCCATCCTTTCCATCACAACCGTCCAACCCCCATCCTAACCCCCCAATCCCCCCGATTAAACCTCTTCAAATCGCCGCCCGCCCTCCTCAACCTCTTCATCTCCCACCGTTCCTTCTTCTCAAACTCCTCCGTCGCGTGTCTCTTCCTCACATCCGCTTTACTCATACCACGCACACCACCGCCCATCCCGAGATCTCCTTTTACACCGGCGTCATGCACCACCATAGCGTCTTCCCAACTAAACGAAAACTCTCTGAAGAGGGGGTGAGTTTGGTTGTTAGGCTGTATAGCGGCGAAGGGGTTTTGAGTTGAGAATCTGAGGAGGTCGGGGGTTTCGGTGTCGGGTTGTGTTGCTGCTGCTGTTCCTGTCGCAGTAGAAGGATCGGTGTGGGTGTTCCGTTTCGAGGAGACAGTCGTGAACGGATCCTCATCCTCTCCCTCTCCATCCCCATTTTCCTTCCCAATCTCTTTCTCGTTCGGAGTAGAAACAGGCGGAGTATGCGCACCCGGCACAGCAAAGATGCGTTTCGGCGGTGGAGAATCGAGTTGCATTCCATCGCCCAAGCCCTTAATCCCAAAGATGTTACCCTGTCTCCTCGACTCAGGCACCTTGCTCCTCCTCATCCCATCCCTCCGCCCAGTCACCGCATCGTCCTCAGTCCCACTCTCTGCATCTTGAGTCCCACCCCTCCTGCTCCTATTCTCCTCATCCTCACTCTTCATGCGCGTGAGTTTGGGTCCGGAAGGCGTGACTTTAACCCGCTCTGTCTCCTTCCCTTTTGAATGTGTTTTCCCGATGGGTTGGTCCGTCTCTGTGGTTTTATCTTCGCCTCGCATCTGTGCTTCCCTCACGTCTTTCTCGATATCCCTCGGCACACTAGCATGGATATCCGTCATAAGCCTCGCCCTCCTACAATACCCCTCCCAGTCCTCCGTGGCCAATTTCCCTGCTGCTTCATTCAGCGCACTCGCTGGGTTTGGTTGTATGAGTAGGCAGGATATGGTGACGAGGACATCGCGGAGCTTGAGCGTGCTACTCCAGTCCCGCTTCAATGTCTCGACGCACACGGCGCCTGTTGCCTCGTCGATGTTTGGGTGCCATAGTCGTGTTCGGAACTGTGCTGTGGGCGGTGCGGTGGGGTACGTGGGTGGGATGTCTAGATGGAGGCGCCATACCTAAAGATGGGTGTACGAAGTCAGTGTTTGTTCTCACATGCAGTTCGTACATCGGCAATTACTCACGCCGGATGCGTAGGGTGTGCCGACAGGACCAGCGAGCAGGATGTCCAGGGAGGTGAGGTCTGACGAGTCGTCGGACCCCGGTGGGAAGAGATAGTTTGGGGGGAGGCCGGCGGTGTGAAGGGAGCCGTGGTCTGCGGCGAGGCGGCGGAGGGATTTGGAGTTCTAAGTGTTTGGGTTAGCGGAGGGACGCGCGGGCTGGGGAAGAGAGCGGGTGGTACCATGGCTGCGGGGGTTGTTTAGGGTTTTCGTAGTCGTCGAGGTAATTAGGATGAGGACGAGAAGTTATTGCGCCATGGTCGGATGCGTGAGGGTCTGAAGGGGCTGTTGATGGCTGCTGTCTTCCAGCGGCTGCAACGCACCTACCTGGAGGTTCGCGACGTCCCGCATCTGCACGCGTTCTAGCGCGTCATTGCATCTCACTCTCACCTGATCACTTCCTTCGTCAATCACAAGACAAACACTGCCGAATCAAACACTGCAATCAACATAGCCATCATTCGCTCAAGATCTGGATTCTCATAACAACGTCTAGCCACTCCACGATCCAATTACGGACCCAGCCAGATGGCAAATCTACATGACCCCCCATCCATTTCTCAATCCCGCAAAACCCGCCAAAGAACGCCGCGCTATAACAACCAAGCCCTACAAGATATCCATATCATCCACTGGATCCACAAAAGGGAACTGACCACTCTCAATCGCCGCTATCCTGTCCAATTCAGCCTGATACTCCTTCCTCAGGGTATCCAGGGTAATGATCTGCCTCTTAAGCAGCTTCTTTCCCTGGCCAATGCCCCACTGCGGCGGACCTCCGGTTGCTTCTATGCGCTGCTCGGCTAGGATGTAGGCGTCTTCTTTGCTGACTGATGAAAGGGTGTTGATGATCATGAGGTAGCACTGTGTTAGGGACTCGTCAGCTGGGTCGTGGATCTTGGTCGATGTTGTCTTGAGGCGCTGGAGGCGCTCGTGGAGGATGGATGCGGCGCCGCGGAAGTTGTTGCGCGAGATGCGGAATGAGTAGAGGATCTGGTGGTAGGGCGGTCCGGATGCGATGTTGAGTGTCTTCTGGCAGAGGGATGTGAGTATGGTGTCCACCGAATCTGTTAGTCCGACGAAGGGGAACTTGAGAAGCTCGGTAGTCTGCGATTGAGCTACCATGGATGTGATGAGTGTCTGCAGGTCGGAGAGTTTCCTGGAAAATAGTCAGTATGCGAAGTTGTATCGAAGCAGTTCTTCGACTTACAGGGCCGTGTCCCGATGCCTGATCAGCGCACCGTATGCATCCTGGAATCTTGATGTTTGTATCGAAGCGGTGAACAGCCGTTGAAGCAGATCCGTCTTCAATTCCACGTCTTCCTGACCCATCAAAGATCGTAGCCCCAGCTTCGCAAAGTCGGCAACGTAGGAATACGCTTTCGCCTTCTCGAACAGACCAATGACATGACTGTAATAGTGTGCCAGGCCTTCGGAGAACGAATTTCGCTCCACTTCTGATATGAGGTTTGCCTTGTCTTCCTCCGCCACGTCGAACATAGGACCGAGAGCTACAGAAATTAGTATCTTCGTGGCAAAATCGCATGTCCAAGACTTACCCAGATAGTATGCAGGCTTCTGGAAGCACACAGAAGCCAGCTCCTTGTTGCCTAGTGCAAGGTACAGTCGTCCCTTCAGATACGACGCCCAGTGTCCTTCCGTGAGAAACTTGGAAAAGTCTTTAGCAAGCTCGTACTCCTGCTGATACAAGAGTATCCCCATCATATCCTCCACAGCGTTTTCAAAGTCGTGTTCTTCGAAGATGAATGACAACCAGCCGCGACTCCAGTGGGTAAGCAGACCTGCCTTTGGGTCTTTTGGCAGTGGCACCTCAAAGGCACGACTTCCGTAGATTCCCTCGAGGACCGTCTGGGTGATGGGTAACTTCATACCAGTCTTGTAGGTCTCGCTCAACATGCGGTTAAGATTGTCGGATGCAAGGCCGGTTCCAGTCTGGTGAGACCACACTGTACGGGCTAGCCAAGAAACGACCATGCAGTCCTTATACCGCAGTAGAAGCTCGGCAAACACCTCAGACGCATCCCACTCGTCATGTGTCTCTCCCTCTAGCTCGATGAACATGAACAGCAGCAGGACAAGCAGATCAAGCAAAGCATTGTGGTCGTTCTCCAGGGTCTCCTTGGAAACGCATGACAACGCATTCAGCCCGTACCGCGCGATCTGCTTTCTCGACTGAGGCCTGCCGTCATGCTCGTAATCCAGTTTCCTGATGGCGCGGAGGAAAGTCTCGGTACCCAGGTCCTTGACTTCCATACCGAGCTCTTCAACAAGTGTGGTCACGTCCTCATCTGTCACGTGTTGAGACAGTTCGCTGTTGCCTTCGATCCATTCCATGCGATCTAAGATCGTGATGTTCCGGCTCTGAAGTAGGTCCATCTCCATGTGACGTTGGACCTTCTGCTGGACGAAGTATGGTAGTCGTTGGCGGAAGGAAGCTGCGGCATTCAGCAGACGTGCCACGTCGCGAGATTCCGATGTATCCAGAGTTTGCCGTAGAGGTTTGCTCAGGGTACGCGAGCCTGAGATGACTGCTGCATTCAGTGTAGTTACTTCTGACTCGCTGCAGTTCCTAATCGCAGAGATATGGTCGCTCAATACTAGCCACGGCCTGTCAGTAGCCCGGTCGTAACTGAGTGACAAAGATTCTCCCCTCCGCTTGTGCAAGTCTTTCACCAAGCCGTAGTATGCCTGCCACTCCGCTGTCAGGTCTTTGCTGAAGTCTTCGCCATGACCGCGTTCAATGGCAAGGGCGACAAGCGTGGCAACCAGACGTTCTTTTAGTGACCCTTTGTGAACTCGATTTGACCGGTGCCGTATCCCCTCCAAGCCTCTCCTGTATATGCGCAACGCGGTTTCTAATGTCGCGATCGAGAATCGGCCTGGATAGAACAGAAACTCGTACCACTCATTAGAGAGATCCTGTTCTGGTTCCAACTCCCGCTCGCTTGGGTTTGCGGGATTGACCTTCAGTGCCTCGACGGTCAGAGGACCCGAATCCACAGACACCCAATCACTCTTCCACGTTTGTGTTCGTTGTTCGGCGTAGTCGGTGAGATCGAATTTGAGGGAGTAGACTTTGCTGCTTGGACCTGACCTGGCGCGTATCCAGATCTCCGAGCCCCTCCACGTGTTGGGTCCTGGTATGATGTGGAATTCCTCCAGCGTCCATACAGTCGTGTTCATGAGTTCGTCGATCGGCGGAATGAGCTCTGAGTCCTGCGCAGCGTCGTAGAATCCGTGTTCCTGGTCGTCCGCATCCCTCACGCCCCAGAACTTGAACTGATGCTGCTTTGGCGAGTACGTAACGACGTGGTATAGTGCGCCTCCCACCCCGCCTGGGATGTTCACAACAGTCATCAGCATCGACTGCGAAGGTCCAATGGAGTATGAGCCATGGGACTTCTCCATGGCGAAGTCGTCGGCACCCAAGAGGTCGATGTGCGCGCCTGGCTTGCCTGACGCAATGTTCCACGCTCTGATCGAGTGGTCCAGGCATACTGAGAGGATGTGTTTGCTGTCTGGTGATATCGCGACGGCAGCCGCGGCTGATACAGCAAAGTCCGCGTTCTCGAAGCGAACCGTGGGCTGCGCTTTCCACGACAGGAGACCGCGCACCGACCAATTGCTCTGCTGGTACCGCGATCCGTCCCAGGTGTTGTTGGCCTTGTCCCAGATCAAGCGACAGATGGCCCCATCGTCGAGTGTGACTAGCAGTTCGTCTGCGCTCGCGGCGGCCAATCGGTAGGGTATGCGCCCGCTGAAGAGCGCCGGCTCGAACCTCTTGCACCACGTCTCCGAGTCCTGCTCCGAGGCTGCGGGGTTGGCGAAGAAGTCGCGATGCAGGGTGATCGTGTAGAGCTCGTTGCCCGTGGTGATTGCAAAGACGGTCAATGCATCGCGGTCGGCGGGCTCAGCGAAAGCGACGCAGAAGGGTCGGATTGGGGCGGGGAATTGGAAGAGGAGCGTCAGGTTTGCTTCGAACTTGTCGGCGTAGTCGTGATCGAAGTCGGTCGCCTGAATCTCGAGCATCTTTCTGTTGTCCAGCACCCGCCAGAGGAAGCTGCGCGGGTAGGCATGGTGTTGCCGAAAGTACATGGACCCATCTGTAGCGAGATGGCGCCTCGTGAAGTCCTCCTCATCCTTGTCCGCATAGGATTCTGTGATTACACTGCGCTTTACGCTTGATCGTGTGCTGAAGGGAGAATGCGACGGGATCGAAAATGCGATGGTCGAGCCAGGGTAGGCGGGCTCAATGTTCAAGCGCGCCTCTTTGTAGAGACACGTGCCTCCATGTTGGACCATGGTGCTCGCATGCGAAGGGGATTCGGCTGTCGTTGCGGGGGCTGAGAGGTTATGGCGCGCGTTTGGGGTCGAGTTGCGGCGGTCGCGCGGAGGTGAAGCTCACGAAAACAATCGTTGCGCGACGATGGATGCGCGAAGCTCGCTGGTGCACGGACGCTTTGTCCATCATTGCAGGCTACCCTGAACGCAGCCCACTTATCTCACTCCCCACATAGCATGGCCATTCAATCCCAAGATAGGCCAAAAGGTACTGATAGACAGAATGCGCATTCATTCAGGTAATGTATTAGGATATCATACGGCTGCATAAACGTAAATCGTGTAAAACCAAAAGATCTAGATCGTCACGGCTCCATGACGCCTTGCATCTCATCTCCCTCATCACCTATTGTTCCTCTCCTCCAGGTCCTTCTCCTTGGGGTCACCAATACCGTCTTCATTGATCGCGAACAAGCAATCGCTCTCTGGTAGACAAGGACTGTCGTAGATCTTGCACACACGCGTCTCTCCCCTACCCTTTCTCAGACTGAGACGGGTCGTACTTGCGTGTGCAATGATGTTTCCTCCGATAGGCTTCTTGGGGTCGGGGTTGAACATGGCACTTGGTCCACCGTCCACTTGCGCGACGACTTGGTTCGTAATTACAACGGCGATACCAAACTCGTCCGCAAGCCGTTGTAGCGTGCGCATAAACTTGGCCAAATGCGTTTGTCTGGCAGAGAGCTCTCCACGCCCAGCGAAATCTGTACGGTATAGTGCGGTGGCGGAATCGACAACGAGCAGCGAGAATCGTGTTTCCGTCATCATCTGTGCGGCCTGGTTGAGCAGCTCCAACTGATGGTCCGAGTTGTATGCGCGCGCA